GTTTTTGAGGAAGCATTTTCTACTTCTTTTTTTTTTTTTTTTTTTGACAGAAAACTTCTATGTGAACCTCTGTCTAATTCTAGTATTCCTTGTTTGTAGATGGGGACAAGAAAATTATGTTTTGATATCTTTGAGCTTTTATCTTGCTCTTAGGGGAGTTTGAGGCTATTGTTTTGAAAAGTACAAAACAGAGACCAATTTTTAAACATAAGAAATTGAAGATGAGAATACTGGAAATAAGGCAGTAGAAAATACTACTTCTTCTCTAAGCTGACTCTTTGCTTATTGCTATAACTACTGAAGAAAGGCAAGGATGGCAAACAGAAATGTAAGTTCCAGCAAAGTTAGAAATTGCAACCTATGTGGTAAATTAGAAACCCATGATATTGATACCAACTAAGAACCTTTATTAGAGTCTGTTTCAATAAGTTTGTTTCCAAACTTCTTTTGACTTGCCCAGACAATTTTATGTAGTAGGCAGATTTGAAGTGTCAGACAGAGATTTTTCTAGCTAAGTTTCATGTCATAAGAAATACTAGTTGCACAGGACAGCGCATAGATAAGCTGAGGAAAGAGAAAAGATTAATACCCTTAAAATTTCACAACCATTTTAATTCAAGTTTTAATTTTAAAATACAGCAAAGAGAAATTATAACCCATTTTGAACAATCTGTAGGTAAAAGCAACACTAAGTATTTGATTTTCTCAGTACAATCTTTGTTTGAACAAAGTTCTGAGGGAAAAAAACTTCGAATACCATTTGTCTGAGTTCAAATGGTTCAATGACTGAAAGGAGTTATCCAGGAATTAAAAATACCAAATAGTGAAAGATAAGCTTTATATAGTTTTCTTGATTTATCATTGTATTCTACTAAGCCATCTTGCCAGTCAGAAACATCATTACAGCCACCAGACTAAACCTGCAATAATTTGTTTTACCTTTCTTGAGTGTCCCTTAAAGGGATGCATGGGAAGTACTACACCCCCATAAAAGATGTTTGTCTCTGTATTAATAGTTACTCCGTAGGCAGTGTGTAAATGAGTTATTCAAGATCTTACAGTTTTGTTCATAGGGTTTGACCTGCCAAAGTGTTCATGCTTTGCAAATGGTAAAGTCATTTATGGATGCAGCTCCCGGTTGGAATATGCTGTTTGTTTAAGGTAACTATGATATTCTAAAGCCTGTCTTCTCCCCATAACATGCAGGAAATGGCAGCAATATTTTTCTTTTTTAGTCCTAAATTGTTTTAACTGAGTTAACCAGGCCTTCTGACACACACCAGCTAAGTAAGTCAGTGAAGTCAAAGGGAATCCTAGAAGGATTTGAGCTTTGTTCAGTGTTAAGAGGGGAAGGCCGATGGAATGTGGTCTTGGTGCTGTCATCAGAGAAGATGGAGCCAGGGTCTTCTTGGAGGAACAGTGGTAGGATGTATGGCAGCAGGCATAAGTTGCAGCAAGGAAACAGGAACAAAATATTCAAAGAGATGGTAGTCAGGCACTGGAATAGGGGCCCAGAGAGGTTGTGGGATCTTCTTCCTTGGAGACTGTCAGTACTTACCTGAACTAGACCTGCTTTGAGCTAGGGATTGGAAATAGAGACCCCCAGAGGTCCCTTTCAACCTAAATTACTCTTATCACACAATTTGCCTGCATTAACATTATTGGAGACCCAGTGCAATTTGACTCTAGCAACACAGTATCTTGTCAGATGTTGAAGTGTCAGTGATTGAGAATTAAAGAGCTCCTTTGTGGTATCATTGACAACAGCATGCAGGTATGTTCAAACTGCTCTGAGATTTTTCTTGGGCAATCTGTCTAATTTGGAAGCATAATCTTGGCAGAGATCTAAAATAGAAAAGGTGGTCATAGGCTACTTACCATAGATGGAAAGAACATGGCTATTCAGAGGCTGAAAAAGAGGAGGAATGGAAAAAGCAAGCTGAAACTTCGTACTTGAAGTAGTAGCTAAATAAGAAATGCTACAGTAATCAATTGATTGAAACAGTTTTCTTAACATGTTGCAAAATGCTCACTTTCCTGTAAAAGGTAAAAGTAAGAGCCAACACAGGTAGGAAATGTACTTTCATGTCAGGCTTTCTAGTTTATGGTAAAAATCTCATGAGAAGAATTGGAGTGTTCCTCCAGTAAGAATTAAATATTTGTCAGTGTTATTTCTACCTTCAGTTAAGTTAATGCTCAAGATGTCTCTTTTTATGTGCTTCATTTAATAACATATTACTCAAGTGAATCATTTGAAGAATTCTTCAGTGAAATATAGAAATAATTTTCATATAACATCAGCAAGTGAACATCTTACTCAGATGTATTACTCTGTACTTAATATCCCAACATGGTTTTTGTTGATGTATTTACACCAAAGTTGAAGCAATTTAGAACACTAAAAGGTATGACTGTGCATTCCATCTCATTACAGACTTAATGCAACAGCAGTCAAGGACCTCGTTATTGTAGAGGGCAGAAATTATAGGTAAAATTTGAGGTTTGGCTCAGGAGCATAAAGAGTGTCATCCATCATTCACTGGGTCAGATCTCAATTGCTGTAATGTTTGTAACTGGTAGAGAGTGCTTATGACTGAAACAACAAAATGCTTTTAAAAAGGCATATCTTTTCTGATATTTTAGAACATTTTAGTGCATCTTTTCTATAGGTATTCAAGGCTGGATTTGATACCACAGTTATAAAGACGTATTTAAAGATCTGTCGCTGAATTTTGATAGACATGAATTGAATGGACAGATCTGTGAGGGCATGCATTTACTATAACCCATGCTCTCTATTATTAATTTGTATGGAGTTTTTTGTTTTTTCTTTTACTCTCCCAGCACCTATCAGGGCTGCTGACCCTAGAGAAGGAAATGAAAAACAAGTGTTCCACCTCTCTCTACTAAGAGGAACAAAAATTAATATCTTGGATTCCATACTCGTGAAGGCCTTTCAAAACTCTTCATTCTGGAGTTACCTTACACTTGTGTACATTGAAACATGTTGATGCATTAGACCATTAGTTATATGAAATGATAATCTTATCTTTTTTTAAGTTACGAAAAATGTCTATGACTATTGGATCTATTTGCCCTGGATCCAGAATAAGACACAGATAAACACACAGTAAATATTAAATGCCTTGTGTGGTTGAAGTATTCGAAGACCAATTTGAGTATCATCTGCTGTTACAGTTGTGTTTTGGTTATTGTCAACATGTTATTCCTAATTCTAAAAATATGTAGGTGTACAGGAGTCTGATGGCTGTCCTCTTAGAGTTAAAACCAGATATAAATACTTGAACAAGGAAGACATTGCTTTGTGCTCTGAGCAACTATCAGGTTTAGCATATTCTAAATTTTACATTTTCTTTAGTTCTTGGCAGCTCTCACAGAATACTTGGAATCTAGTTTAGTTATCACCACTCCTTTTTAGCATCATGGGATATCTACTGAAGCTTCTACTCTTCTGTGTCTTAGGAAATATTAGTCTTTCCACAGGCATGCGGAGTTTTACCAGGCTTGTTTGATGTTTCTGTCTCTTGATGGTGAGGCCAAGAACATGACAGTACAAGTTCTTGTCAGTCAAGTGCAGGGCATGTAGCTTTTGTGGAGGAAAAGTCAGGCACAACCAGATGTTGCAGTTTGACTTCACACCTTTATTTTTACCAGAGCTCTTCAGCATCACTTTTGAGTGAAGTACTAACAGCTGTTTTATTTAGGCTTATAAAGCTTTCAATTGTGTTGGTATTTCAAACATGCTGGCGACTTAGACATCTACCTGAGCTAGGCTCAATGAAATGCTTGTTTTCTCTCTTCTTGAGTTTCACTTATGCTGCTGCTATTTATCCTTAGAGCAAAGACTGTCATCTTCTGAGGTCTTCCACCACCATGTAAAGCAGAATATTACATCATTGTGACTCTGCTTTGCCATTCTTTATGTCCCTGATGCTTTGCAATTGTCTCTTGGTAAGCAATGTAGGAGAGTTGATAAATTTCTGTTCGGAGAGCAATCGTATTCAGCAGAAGGCAGGTGAGGAAGTGAATTAACAGTTTCACAGGTTTGGAGGGAAAGCCTGGGAATTCCTTTAAACTGTCAATTCATACAGAACTATATCTTAGATAATCTGATCAGAGTCATCGCATTTGTGAAGTAGAACAATCTGGCTGGAACTTTAATACCAGCCTCTTGTGTCTCTTCTCCCTTGAGGGCCGTCACTGCTGGCTTACTGGCACTGCTTTCTGCCTGTCAATGGGTGGTTCATGGACTTTATAGCACTTTGTCCTGTAAAGAAAGATGTAGGTGAAGCCCTGTGCAATATGTGCCCAAATCCAAGGGTACTGCTTACGTAGTGTGAACTTCACAAAATATTCTCCTACCGGGCAGTGATGTCAAGATCAGCAGATGTAATGATGTTTTTTGTGAGTGGCAGTTGGCAGTAGGACTTCCATCAATAGTGATGGTGTCAGTCCATTTTTTTTGTGTGCATTATTTTAGGAACAGAGACCCCCTTCCTTCTGCCTCCAAACTCTATAATAACTAACAGAGCTAAATTGTTTGGTTTACCCTTTTGTTGTCAGTACATGCTAGCAAAGACTGATGGGGACTTGCAGATTTCACAAGGAAGATGTAACTCTTGTGTATACTCATAGGTTCCTTTTAGAAGTGTTTAAGAGACAGCCTTGTGTCAGACAAAGTTTTCTAAAAGACATTCCAAGTATCTTACTTCTCATCTGTGTTAGTTGTTGACAGATATTTCTCATATCCCAAGAATTCCCAAGGAAGAGAAAAACTTGAAAACTCTTGGTGGCTTGGGTTTCTAGAGCTTGTTTTCAAAAGTAATATTTAGCCAAAGCCTTGGCACTGTGTCAGAAGGAAGTAGCTCTGCTATAACATTGCTGACAAAGCTCTGTTGCTTCCAGGGCCCAGGTTAGGATCTATATGAGGCTGCGCTGTGTCCTGACGCATTAGGACCCATCTTTAGTAGCTCAGTAGAGCACAGATCCTGTGGAGCATGGACACACCAGCAGAGGAATGGCACGACACTGGCACCAGCAGTACATTTGGCACTGGTAGGACCTTTTGCTGACAGCATGCTGCAATTCTTTTATGAATCAGTTTGATACCAAAAATAGCTACTAGCTTCTTTGGAGACTATCATGGTACGGGGCTACTTTGATTGCAAAACACTCCAGACAGGGAGTAGGATATGGCTGAAAAGTCAGACTGAGCTAGTAGAAATGAATCTAGGAAAGAAATTAACACTCTATATAAGTATAATTTGGCTGGCAGAGCTGCATATCCTTTAGGATTTTCTGGTGCCTACAGTTGGAGCTGCAATGTGATCATATCCCTTGCCAATTTAGCTGAGACAGCTTCAGTGTGTGCTTGGCCTAAGTCTCCTGTGTGACACTTCAAACATTTGATCAAGGATCTTGAAAAGGAAATAGAAAGTAAGTAAATGACAAGAAGACAAGAAAGGCTCATGCTCTAACTTAAACTAGTGGTACAAACCCAATCTGTTGTCCCTGAACCTCTGTTGCAAAGGAAGTGAACTCAGGACTGGCTGGCAAAGGTGTTCATTCCCCAGCAGCCCCTGAGGGTGGGCAGACTGTTCCTCGTGTGTCAGAGTCGCAGGAGGCCATAGGAGTTCTGGTTGTTCCTGAGAAAGAGGTCAAGCATGTTTGGCAAGAGACTATAAAGTGAGAGAGCAACTGCTTGCGGCGCTGTCTGTCGCTCCCTTTCTTCGGCTCCTGTCCTACCTGACAGAGCAACTTGACTTTAAAGCTCAGTTCCAGTTTTGGGCTCATTGTGGCCCCTGTGTAGTAGGTAAATTTAGGTTTTCTCACGCTGCTAAGAAGCCCTGAGCCAACTTATAGGAAGTATACCTTCTGGTTATATTGCAAGTGCAAGAACTGAACAGTAAATGGGAAGTTCTTCACTGCTGTTCTTGATGTGCCTATCTTTGGATTAGCAGCAGGAAGCAGCTTCTCTTGTAGAATCATTTTTATGCTGCAGGAAAAGCCATTATAGCCATCTGTTGAGGAAAATTAGCAGTTTGCAATATGTTACATCTGTAAATGGATAAACTCTTTCAAACATGACATGTGTTTATATACATACTTTGGTGTAATTGAGTGTAACTGAGGAATACAACTTGCTGCTTCATTACCAAGTAACAAGCAATAGGACCCGAGGAAATGGCCTCAAGTTGCACTAGGGGAGGTTTAGATCAGACATTAGGTAAAAATTCTTCACTGAAATGGTTGTCAAGCACTGGAACAGGCTTCCCAGGGAAGTGGTTGATTCAGCATCCCTGGAGGTATTTAAAAGATGTGTAGATGTGGTGCTTAGAGACATGGTTTAGTGGTAGACTTGGCAGTGCTGGGTTAGTGGCTGGACTCATGATCTTAGGGGTCTGTTCAACCTAAACAATTCTGTGATTCTCTTCTAGCTGATAGCCAGTGGGTTTTTCCAAGGTGGGTAAAAGGTAATTGTAATTTCAAATGTATTTTATGTGTGTGTAGGTGATAATACAAGGATTAACATAGTAGACTATAAATCTTTCTTGTCGTTCAGAATTGGCTAATTATTTCAAGAATTGTTTCACCTCACTGAAGGCTCTCAGCTGATAGCAGAATTGTGACTGCTACACCTTGGAGTGCTGGGATTATTTGATTTTGTTCCAGGCTTATCTTTCTCTGAAGTATAGCAAAATATCCAATTATTTAAGATTCTTGGATAAGTAACTGTAGTATAAGCTTCAGTTCTTGTTATGACACCTTTATTTTCCCTCTAATACCTAACTGTGAGAGCTGATTTAAGAAAAGCAGCAAACACATATCCTTGGAGTGAATAAACTTCTGTTCCTGTGTTTCATTTGATATATCGCTTAGTACAAGCAGCAAATGAAAATGGCAAACCTAAGGAAATTGTAATGGCTTTTAGTGATAAGTAGTCAAATAAATATCACATGCTAGTAGCTTTGAAGTTTTTGATTAGAGATTCAGTTGAATTTCTGTGATTTACTAGGCTTACACGTCACTTACATTCACAAACCATGCATGCTTGCATATAATAGGTTTGGGTTTTTGTGTGTGTGAAACTCCTCAGTGTGATGTTTGCAGTGGATTCAATGGTCCTGAGCTTTTTCATGTATCGATGCCTAATCCCTGTGCTTACAGCTGCCTGTGCTTCAGGTATTATCTCTGCTGTAGTAATGCCAGACTCCTGAGACCCAATAGCAAAACCAGTAGGCAAATCATTTGTTTATTTGGCAGCCTGAATTTTACTGGGGCTTCATATTATTCAGTCCCACTCATAAATCATCAGCTCAGGGACTCAAGTTATAGGAGAGTTTGAACTTTGTTGGCATTTCTTTCTCTTGCTTTTTAAATACATTTTTTACTTCTATAATGGTGAGAAAGGGCTGTGGAACATCAGTTCTAATGGCTTTGCAAATCAAAATGAGATTAAGAATGAAGCTACTTTCATTAATGTTTTCTGAGTTAAAATATGTCATTTTTATGAGCAACACTGGGACTATTTAATGTTTTTGCTTGACATTATTGAGCTGCAAGTGAAGGATTTAGATAGGAATATTTAAGCAAATAAAACTGTGGATAATAAGACAATTGTGGGGCTAGCTGTTACTGTGTGTCAGCACATAGATGCATCAATCTGTTTTCTTTCTGGCCTCTACACTGTTCCAAATAAAATACATTCTGTTATTAAGACACCACACTGTCTTAGAAGATTCTGTTATTAAGACACCACACACCCTCTGTAACCAGCCTGTAAGCCAGCCTTGTTGTGGGAGAGGCAGACTCCTTGTGACTGGTACAAATCCACTGAATGCAAATAAAACAGACTTTGATTAATTCTGGGGGGAAAAATCTCTGCTGCTTTTCCAGCAGTAAATGTTGATACTGCTTTCTAGTAGGGTTGTCTGCATTTATCTCTCAGAAGGTTATTTTGATCTTGCGTTTGTTCAGCCTCCTGTCTTTCTCCTGTATATTACAGCGTTGTAAGCAGGAAGACACTGGGAACTCTGCAAACTAAGAGGTGACGAATGGCATTAGCTACATACTAAAGGAGCAAGGGAGAATCTTAGATTTGCACTTCTAGTAGAGGATAATAGAATATGTGTATTTTATTGACTGACTCTTACAGGTGCTTTGCATTGCATCAAGTCTGACTTCAGTGGGGTCCACTCAGAGCATCCAGAACTGGCCACTGCTTCAGTTATCGTGGGGATTTCCCCTCTCTTAACTGGAATGGGGTTATTTGTACAGGGATAGCACACTTTTTACAGTGTTTTTTCATACATTAGATGTCTCAATTTCTTTCTAGTGACTTTCCCTTCTCCCCTTATAATTGAAACAGCTGGTTCTATGGTAATGAGTCCCTTTGAGCTGTCAGTGTGTGTATATTTCCATTTACACTGCTGGCACTTTGTTCTGAACCTTCTCCCCTTCTGTCCAAATAGATTACTTGCATTATCTGATCTGTCTTATTGTTCACAATAGCACTGCTGTGGATTCTCCAGATCCTCCTTCCATACTGAGTTTGTTGCTCATTTCTCAAAGGCCTTTATCAAACTTTGGTAGGTGTAACTTTAAATAAATCCTTGTTAATTTTTGTATGAGTCAGAGAATCAAAGGGAAGAAGGGAAAATTGTATTTTTAATTGCACAGAGTGTCCTGTGGAGTGGTCTAGCTAACCTGTTGACTTCTCCTTACACAATAATTCATATTCAAATTAATTTTGGCAACTGGCATTTTGTCTGTATTATCTATGATCATTTAAACTTCTTTATAATACAGTGAATGTTGACCAGAATAATTTTTAATGCCAATAGAAGAAGAGTCTTGTGCAGTGATATGGCTGATAATCAGGAGTCTGGGAGTGTGGTCAAAGATAAGCAATCGAATGACTACATTTTAAGATTGCACTTATTGTTCATGAGAAGTAAGTTTCCAGAGATGCACCTAGACAGGCCAAAGCAATGGCCACAGTAGCAAAAAAGATTAGACAAAATAAGGAAAAAAACAGTTCATGGTGAAGTCGATCAAACAATGTAACAGAGGTTACAGAAGACCCTTTGCTATGAAAATGTTACCGTGAAAAAGATGTTGCTTCACAGAGGAAATGAGGGCAACAAACAACATCTTCTGTGGCTGATCACTGGTTTCCAATCACTGACCTACATTTTTTAATAGAGATAGGTCTGCTTTCTATCTGGGCTATCTGCTATCACTCTGGGCTCTCTGTTCAGACCTTGGCAAGCCATGTATCTTAGTGAGCTCCCAGTTAAGCACCTGGAATATTAATTTAATGAACTTGCTGTATCAGGACCTCCTGATGAATTCCCATCTTTCCTCATTTGCAGAAAGCTTATTTACCAGCCACACAGCTGAATGAGAAGGAATGGGCTTGCTTTTCACAATCAAGGAAGCCTTGATGCCAAAAATTGATAGAGTAATTCCTTGAGACTGGGAATTACCAATCACATAAACTTTCTTAAAGTAAAATAATTGCTCACCTCATTTAGTATCATTCTTTGAAGGGGTCCATGGCCTACATTCTGCTGGAACCAAAAAAGTAATTAAACAGAGGAATGTTTTAAAACTCTTTTACCTGAACACCCAACATAATTTCAGCCTTTTCTATAAATCTCACTCTTACTGTATTTTTCATAACTTCATCTTGTATCATAATGGGAGACAGAATAGAAGCATATAAAATCTTCAGGGCCTGAGAAATGCACATTTGAAGCCAATTAATAAGGTTAGTGGAGTTTGGATCAGGCCCCAAAAGACAGTTCTAAGGCACTTGAATCCTCTGTGCCTGATGATTCTTTTTCATTGTTGTGTTGCCAAATGATGAAATACAATGGGACAAAACAGGATTGCTTGGGGCACTATATTACTCAGCTGCCTACTTTGTTGAAATCAATGGGTTATTTTCTCACTGACTTCTGTGGATCTCAGATCAGACCCTATAAAAACTTCAGTATGCTTTCAAAATGTCCTGTTATTTAATCAGATTCTGTTTGTCACTTAAAGCTAGT